TTGTTATATATATTAGTTAATTATTTCAATATTGAGACTTTTAAAAGACAAAGCATAGGCCAACGATATCTCCATAAAAAGAATCAATAAATAAATACTATAAATAACTTATATACTATAGTATATTGAGCTAAAGTATAATATAAGTGAAGCACACACACTACCAAAAAAGAAAACATACAGAGAAAATACTAAACCATCTTGTTTGAATTTAATAATTGTTGAGAATCGAATCGTCAACTTAAAGCATGAATTATGATGACAAAAGGTCAAACCATTTATTTCAGATAGAGCATTAAGTGATCCCAACTAATTGTAAATCAATTAAGTGACGGATTGATTAAATCACTTCCGAGCAATTGACATTTATTTTAGGATCACTTGTGGCTATATATAAGTATTCATTGTAAATTTATATAAATATCTTGCCACGCAACAAAGAAAACGAACGAAGCAAAATCTGCATAAAAGGACAAATTCAAATGGCACGAGTAAAAAAGAGCAGAAGAAATATCTTCTTCAAATACCTAGACAATAAAAAATGCATTCAGATGCATCTCTCGGCGCTCTGTGGCTGATTTTGGTAAAATTCAATTAATTGGCATGCAGATGCGCGACGCGGCTATTTCGCAACTTCGTCGAGCCGAACCAATGCTTCCTCGAGAAGCTCTCGCGGATAACAACCTTGATGTTGATTTATAGTTGTCTATGTGCAGTGACGGCGTCTATTTTGGTGCCGTTGCCGTTGTCGCTGCTGCCTGCCTCTGCCACGCTGCAGCGATGCTGCGTGCCTGCGTCCCTGGCTATTGCCCTCCTGCTCTTTCTCTCACTATCGGGCCTGCTCTATCTGCTCAGGGTCCACGGTTTGCCAATTGTCTTGCAGCATCTGTCGGTCCTTCTAAGGTTCGTTTCTATTTTTCGAATTGGCAACGAGGTGAAGTATCTTCGTACTAGTTGTACGGCGCCGCCTGCAACGTGTGCCGGGCGGCGGGGGCGGGGGCGGGGCAGGGCAGGGGGATCGGCTAATCGAGTGACGTGCTCTCCCGGCCACGCATATTTGCTTATCAGTCATTCAGATAGCTCGCAATCAATTTGCCCTGCAGAGTGCGTCACCGTCTCTCTCCTCTCTCTTTTTTTTTCTCTCTTCAACAAGGTGCATATACCCTACACTTAGCTGCATATTTACGCTATAGGGCACAGCAACAATATCAGTATTGTCTCTCAGATAATATCAATAATCATACAATAAGTAAATTAAAGCTAGCAAAGTCTTCATGGAGCCTGCATGCAAAGTCAAGTCAAGACTGTAGCGTATACAGCTGTCGCATATAGCCGAAGGTGGCCGCTCGGCAATTAGGAAAACGGCTTATATGGATCGATTCACATTGAATGCGTGGCACTGCTTTCGCTCTACTCAATTTCTCTGTCGCTCTCCCAGCGAATTTCTGCTTGGCTGCCAACTAATTGAGTTCTCAACTCAATTAGGCATTCCCCGATGCGAGAGCCTTCGATATAAAGACAGCAATGGGCCAGCCGCGTGCCATTTGTTGTTGAGTCTAGGAGCCAACAAGAATCGAACGTGCGATTTTAATTTTCATCAACTCCCTTCGTTGGCCTAAAAGGTGTGTGWTACTCTGTGTATGTGTGTGTGTGCATCTCTTCAACTCAAAGGATTACATATGGATTAAAATTCAAAAACTTATTGCAAGTGGAATATGTGCTACAAAACATTGACTTCAATTTAGGATTAAATCTTCTTCTTCCATTTTGCAACTAAACTTCTTAGACTCTAATCAGAAATTGTATTATGTCATCTCAAATTGGACTGATGAAACAAGGACTAAAGAACTTTGCACTCTCTGTAGTAATTCATAAGAGTGCATACATATTCTGTCCTATATACCACATCTCAAGTCCATTGTATAACGATCCCATCTATAATTGCAGATAAACAACTGTCAAAATGTGTGACGATGATGCGGGTGCATTGGTTATCGACAACGGTTCGGGCATGTGCAAAGCCGGCTTTGCTGGTGATGACGCCCCCCGTGCTGTATTCCCCTCGATTGTGGGTCGTCCACGCCACCAGGGTGTGATGGTGGGTATGGGTCAGAAGGATTCGTACGTGGGTGATGAGGCGCAGAGCAAGCGTGGTATTCTCACGCTCAAATATCCCATTGAGCATGGCATCATCACCAACTGGGATGACATGGAGAAGATCTGGCATCATACCTTCTACAATGAGTTGCGCGTGGCCCCCGAGGAGCATCCAGTATTATTGACAGAGGCCCCACTGAACCCCAAGGCCAATCGCGAGAAGATGACTCAGATTATGTTCGAGACCTTCAATTCGCCAGCCATGTACGTTGCCATCCAGGCCGTGCTCTCCCTGTACGCTTCCGGCCGTACCACTGGTATTGTGTTGGACTCCGGTGACGGTGTCTCCCACACTGTGCCCATCTATGAGGGCTTCGCCCTGCCCCATGCCATCCTGCGTCTGGACTTGGCCGGCCGCGACTTGACCGACTATCTGATGAAGATCCTGACCGAGCGTGGCTACTCCTTCACCACCACTGCCGAGCGTGAAATTGTGCGCGACATCAAGGAGAAGTTGTGCTATGTGGCTCTGGACTTCGAGCAGGAAATGGCCACTGCTGCCGCCTCCACCTCGCTGGAGAAGTCGTACGAGTTGCCCGATGGCCAGGTCATCACCATTGGCAACGAGCGTTTCCGTTGCCCCGAGGCTCTGTTCCAGCCCTCGTTCTTGGGCATGGAGTCGTCTGGTATTCATGAGACTGTCTACAACTCGATCATGAAGTGCGATGTTGATATCCGCAAGGATCTGTATGCCAACTCTGTGCTGTCCGGCGGTACTACCATGTATCCAGGTAAAACATAACGACTCTCCTGATGTTGGCATCCGATTTGAATATATTTTGGGTTTTAGGTATTGCTGATCGTATGCAAAAAGAGATCACCGCTCTGGCCCCATCGACCATCAAGATCAAGATCATTGCGCCACCTGAGAGAAAGTACTCCGTCTGGATTGGTGGCTCCATCCTGGCTTCTCTGTCCACCTTCCAGCAGATGTGGATCTCCAAGCAGGAATACGATGAGTCTGGTCCCGGCATTGTGCACCGCAAGTGCTTTTAAATCTTTCCCGCGTAGCGAAAGATCAACAAAGACAACAACCAGGCTAGCAAAGTCACAAACCAACACCAACACCAACAGCCGCGAGCTTTTCACCAATGCCAGCGCGCTGCACATTGGGCCAACCCAGCATAGAAGCAGAAGAAGACAAGGATAACAACAACAATCTAGTGTTACTCAATCATTAGGATCACAACAATAACAACAACGACAACAACAAGAGGCTAACAGAACACTCTTCGAGCCATATACCCAAAAAGAAACCAAAGAAAAAATATGACCACAGGCGAATTTCACATTGAAGAACTTGGGAGTGAAATTTGCTGAAAGTGCGAAAATATTTAAATATTTTATAAACTTATCTAAACTGTATATGAATGAGCTTTTAATCGTAGTCAGTGGAATTAAAGCCAAATATATATCTTCCATTAAAACTACAATATAAACATTTTCAATAAAGACAATTTTTTATTTCAATTACATATGCTTCTACTATATTGTTAACAACATGAATATCATTTTCGGTTTAACAATTTGTTTTTTACATAGGTTAAACTACTGTTGTAGATATGCTTAGACATTAATCAATTAATTAATTAATTAATATATATAATACCAAAATACGTTAAAATTTAATTGGGCAGGGGGCGGGGGTTTGTAGCGAGGATTTACATTAATTATGTCAATGATATGAATTGATTTGGCAGTGACATTTAATGCGGGCTTATGTAATCATGAGAGGATCTACATCTGCTGTTTCTGGCTTTTTGGATTGGGTGTCGAAATTCCTAAGTATGAGTATTCTTGTTTCAAGYTAACGTACGTACGTATAGGTAAATTTACACATACATATATAAACACATATATATATAGTACACATTTAATCGTACATACAATTAATTACTTTACTAAAGTTAGTCATAGATATACAAATATTGTATAAGGCGGCATTGCACTCTGTTTAGTTAACTTAAGGTGTTATACTTGCATTAAGAATATCTGAATATCGAAGGGTTCTTTTTTATTCTATTGAAACATCGGATATAGTATCCTGTATACCCGAGTCAAATAAATCGAATTAGAAATTACGGTAATCCAATTTGGAATTAAGACTTTAAAGATCGATCCAACAATATAAAAAAATATTTAAAATATTATTATCCTTTTTTTACATTTTTGGTGTGTTTTGATTTCTAAATTTTTTATAGATATATGATAATCTATATATGTGTATTACCTATAATTCAAGCCAATTGTGCTTAGATTTTAATTTTTTTTTTTTTTTTTTTAATGTTAATTAGATTAACAAACTCCGTGACATGATTCCCCTTAAAACATTTTCCTTGCTCAGAACACATAGGATTTCAATAGAATTAATTATGTAGTCTAGTGTTAGCTTCTATATTTACAATTTCTTACAATTTCTATGAATGGCAATGAAATATGCTAAATTTTTTCTTTTACTAAATTTTTGTAATTTTGTTTGCATTATTATTATTATTATTATATGTATATATATTTTTGCAGCTTTAAGTTTTTTATAGGCAGTTTCTTGTCCACGTAATATTGGACAACTCATATATTTAAAGACCCATTTATGGTCCGATTAATGTAACATTTCGATGTGCATTACTCAGCTCTCCAAAATGCCCGACTGAGATTCGAAAATACTTTTTCTTATTTTTTTTTTTTTTTTTTTTGTTATTCTAAAAGTCGTTAGTAATTTAACTAGCTAACTAAATATATTTCCAGTGTAGGTGTGTATGTGTGTGCGTGTGTGTGTGTTAGTGTATAAACATGTGTGTAAATCGTTTTAATACTATTCAATTTGTATGTTTTGTGCAGTTTAGATAGTAGGTGTAGCAATACAAACTGTTTAAATGCACTAGAGTCGAGCGACCATAAAATCGATTCTCATAATATAAGCACCAAAAATTCATGAGGCCCAGCAATTTGGGCAACAGCATTATTCATAGAGCATTTTGATGGGTTGGACACCTTATATATAGATTTTATGCACAAGCATTTCATAGCGACAATTCCCAAACAAGTAAGAACATTGCATTCGGGCATTACCAACTGCAGCATGCTCATTCACATCCCATTTTCTGATTTGCCACACCCTCAATTGGTATACATGTATATAATATTATTGTGCAAATTAATAGAGGATGCTATCAGAAATTAAGTCGCTAAGTTTTGAGTTTCTAGCTCTAATACTGTAGAAAATGCAGTTTTTCCGATTTGCCACTCCCCTAGTGGGCGGATACGGAAAATTATAGCACCGAAAAAAATTGTGTTCATACGGACAGACAGACGGACATGCAGAAAATCAAAATACTCATTTAACTTTCGTGAATGAGTATAGAAACAACTGTGATTTCAGTTGAGTTTACTAGGCTCGCTCACTCTGTCGCTCTTTTCGTTTCTCTTTAACTTGTCTTCTGGGTTTACCGTTGGTTAAAACATCTAAGGGTTGAGGCCAGTTTTGTAAACGCCCCAAGGCTCAAATCCCCCGACCAACAATAAACAACTGAGAGTGCTCTAGTGGAGAGTGCTCGACTGGGATATACCCTAAGATTCTCCAATAAGCGGGGCAGCGTAAACCAGTCGGTAGGCACCGAAGTAAGTATGAAGTTGTTTTGGGAATCTTCCAAAAAAGCCTCATACTTACTTCGGTGCCTGGCGACTCGCTTACGCTGCCCGGCGCATCGGAGGGTCTTAGATGTCCATTTGGAACTTTTTTGTTGTCTAACTTTGCTCCTATGCATGCTTCTGCGTGAGCTCTTTGTACAAGGCGTCCAACCCATATGCTCTACTTTCAATTGCTGCGGGCGCATTATCACAGAACATCCACGTACAGTCCGGACGCGGGTGATATGTGACAGCGCCCGCAAAAGCCACCACAAAATGCTCGTCGTGACGTCGAAGCTGTGTCGAACTGCAAATGGAAGAGGGACAGTTAGGTAAGTGATGGTTTGGGCCCCCTCTGCGATAAGGCTTACCCTGCTGGCTTGATGCATGACCGCACGATTGCCATACGTGTTCCACACGGTGCCCGGACGCAAGAAAAACCCCGTATGCTCCAGACTGATAGAAAAGTCTCCTTGGGGACAGTTCATGTTGCGATTGTAGCAATCGCCAGCTGATCCCAGCGCTTGGCGCTGACCCCTTGATTCCGCAAACTCGAAATCGTTCTCGATGATCCTCAGGTCGCTGATGTTCAGCCGCAGTTTGGCAAAGTGCGTCCGCCCCGAGTTTTGATCGTTGGCATACTCGTGGGCTCTCGAGGCCGGCGGACAGCTGTCGTTCAGTCGCGTCTTGTACTCATAATAGATGGAATAGTTCTCCTGCGGCTTCACTGTAATATACTCTCGCGGCGTCCGACTGGTCATCTGATGGCAGTAGATGCGCACCTGCCGTGAGCCCACCTGCAGCGTGTATTCGCCATCCTTGTAGACGGAATACATTTGCTGCACATCGGCGCATGTCTGTGCCCGGCGCACCTGCACAGCCCTCGACTGATTACTGCCGCTGATGCTCCTTCTTCGGCAGCTGGGCGGCGGCGTGCACTTCACCTTCGCCAGTCTGCTCGTCTTGCGCATCTTTGAGTCGTAGTAGTAGTTGCGTCGCTGCTCGTAGCCTGAGCAATCGCACTGGAACACCAAACCAAATCGAGTTATAAGAATGATTGATTGATTGAGCGATCCTACTCTTACCGGTCTGGTCACCTTGGTGCGAACTCTGGCACAGTTGGTGCATATTTTCCTGTGGATCGGTCGCTTTTTGGCATCGCAGTGCCTGTCGTCCACCGTGTTGCCGGGCCACGCCTCGCAGTGCACGTACCTCGTCTGGTACTCCTCCGTGCAGTCCTTGGTGCAGCGCGTCCACTCGGACACATCCCATTTGCAGTTGATGAAGCACTTCTTGCTGGACTTGCGCAGCGATGGCTTGCGCACGCCCAACGCCTTGCAGAAGGAGTCAGCCACGTATTCTCGCCGCTTGGGCGTGCCGCGCACCTCTGACTTGTAGACGCGGGCGCACTTCTGCACCTTGCGCTTGATGCCCGAGCCGCACACCACAGAGCACTAAGGATAGTTCATTTTGGTATTTTAAATTGGTCTCGTTTACCGTGCCCTACTGTGCTCCCTCCATTCTTACCTTCTCCCATTCGCTGACGTACTTGATGTGGCAGCAATTGCGCGCCGCCTTGGGCATCCTGTCCTTCGGGCAGTAGCCGCCGTAGCTGCTGGAGCAGGTCACGGTGCGGTTCATCTTGCACCATTCGCTGCACTCGCCCCACTCTCCCGTCACCCAGGCGATCACGGAGCGTTGGTTTATCTATAGAATTACGATTTCATATATATTACAATTGCACTTGCAATGCGGCCTCAAATCTCACCATCGGATCCGGATAAAAGCGACAGGGCTCCATGTTGCAGGTGCGCAGCAGATCATTCAGTGCGTACTTGGTCCGCGGATTGCACAGTTCATCGCTAACGGGCGTATGGTTCAGATAGCAACGCACCTCGCGCACTTGGGTACCCGTGCCACAGGTCTTGGTGCACTGCATCATTAGTGGAAATGTATTATTCAATATGCCTTGTGATTAGCGCAGTTTACGCTCTCGACTTACCGTTGACCAGTCCGTGTAGTTCCAGCAGCCCTCGCGGCACTCCTCGTGGCGCACAATCTCGAACTTGGCCTGGCAGAAGGACATGTCCACGATATTCGTGCGCTGAATATCCGGGAATGTCTGGATACAGTTGAAGGTCTTCTCACGCACGCCCAGCTCCCCGCAAGCCGCGGAGCACTCTGATATGCTCGTCGTGTTCAATCTAAGTGTGGGTTAGGTTACCTATTGCAGCTGAAGGTAATCGCAATGTCAACTCACGTTAGGATGCAGTCCGTGTTGCAGCTGCGTGACTCCGCCTTCGGCTTAGCCGACTCCTCGCAGAACTGGGAAGACACCTTTAGACCCTGGGTGGTGCTTATGCAGGTGGCCTGGCGATGCATTGTGCCCTGGCAGAGTGAGTCGCAGCTGCTCCAAGCTGGCATTTGCCAGCGATAGATCTCCACCTCAGCCTCCGCAATGAACGGCTTGTCCAAAGTATAGGTGTACGAAATGAGTACCGTATTCTGATCCTTATCAGCACTCAGATCTATCGAGATGACCTAAACACCCACAGATAATTAGACAAGCAATGCAAAACCTAATACGACTTCGCATACCTTAACAATCAGATCACGGGTCAGCTTCCATGAGTAGGTGGAGTTGACGCGCTCCACGGTGCTGTTGGAGCCATTGTAATCGAGTGTCACGCCTGCATAGGTGGTCTTCTTCGGATAGGGCGTTACCACTTTGTCGTTGTTCAGCAGATTATCATGATTGTCGTTGCTCAACACAATGTAGTTCTGATCGGGATAGCCGGGCTGTGTGATAACAATATTTGAGGCACCTGCATGAATAAAAAACAGAATATGCATTATATAATATGCATTTAAAATCACTATGCTTATCTAGAACTGCTAGCAATACTTTAGATCGTTCAAAAATAGATCAGGTGAGACCCCTCTAACTAATAGATTCCGACTAGTATATGGCACTAAAAAAAATGGTATTTAAGCTTTACCTAAAAAAGGAACTAAAAGGATCGATTATTATCGATAATGGAAACAAAATAWTTCAAATAATATAAATAAATAACGGTAAACAATAATCGATTTTCATGAGATATTAATTTGTAAACGTAAACATAAAATTAAAAAGCTAAACAGAAAATGACAAAGCTATTGGTAAATGCAGCCCTGCAACCAACAATAAGAAAAGTCATTTCCCAAACAAATAGACAAATGTCGATGCTAATTAACAGCGAATGTTAAAAAGAGGAAGAAGTGTCAGATTGGACTCGATAAGAAGTTTGTAAACGATTAATCAAACATGTGAACGTGACCGGATATACAAATTTGTCTAAAATTTAATTAATGTTACATTATGAAATTGTATTCTTGCATATGAATGTAAATATTTCGTAAATGAATGCTTCACGTGCTAACAATAAAAATAATTGATTTAGTGCAGTGTGTGTGTGCAGTGTGTGCATGGAAAAGGTATGTTCGTACGGCAGTTTTGTTTTGTTTTTTTTTTTTTTTTTCTTTGATAAGAGCTTTGCAATTCAAATCAATTTTTATAGACAACTGCTGGCGACCTCCGGCTTGAACCGGCGCCAATGCCCCGTCTGTCGATTAACCAGCAATCAGTGTGTACGTGAGGCGCCTAGGTGCACTGGGAAGATCAACAGCTGATCAGCCGGGAGCAGCAAGCGACACGAGTTACGTGTTCCAGCAAACAAGGTGAGTACAAAAAAAAAAAAAAAAAAAAAAAAAAAAAACACATGCAACATTCATAAGCAATACATAGGTACATATGTACATGTTTGTATATGTGTATGTGTGCATATGAAAATTTTAGCTGGTTTTTGGCTAAGGGCGTGGCTCCCAATGACTCAATTGGGCATCAAAATTGAATTAATGAAAACTATTTAATAGCACATTAAGTCGCGCAACGCATAAACACTTACCATTAGCATTCATTCATCAAATCATTAGCCAAAAATTTTATTTTTAAATTTTTTCTACATTTTTTTATAATTTTTTTGTACCCACTACGAATGAGAATTGAAGCTATATTGATTTTGCTAGAGTGTAGGTAACAAGCATAGCTGGTTATATTTGGTGTATTTATTCCCGATCAATAGATCCATTTATTTCTGGTTGTATTATTGATACACAAGTTTTCCTCAAGAAGTGTGTAGTCATTATGATGAATATATTTGATCTATTATATGGTGATCTATCATATGGGTATCTGTTAGTCGAGCAACTTCGACCAGAGCTCACCAACTTGTTATATTTCTATGTTACTTTCTGCCGCTTGACAACCAGCGAGAGTTTGTTGATCGATAGAAGTAAGAACTTTTGGAGGTACACACCTTTTGGTATTGTCGCGACATAGAAGAGGCTCTGTGAGGGTTTCTTTTGCTTCAGCAAATCTGAGACGTACACGTTTCCGGTGTATTCCTCGCACGTATCGTTGCGTCCCTCGCAAACACCGCATTTGTCTACATGGCGAAAAATGAAACAAATCAAATTAATGACTTGAGATTTTAGACTTTAACTACGACTGCGACTAGTTACCTAGCTTGGCAATGGAGTTGAGTTCGTTGTCGCAGCCTGCCGGCCGGCAGATGCCGTTGACGCACTTGTCAAAGCTGTCCACGTTGCAGTTGGTGCCGTCCGTGACGACGTCCTTCAGCAGAAAGTAGGCGGTGTTGTCCTCGATGCGGCAATACAGCTTGCACTTGTCCATCTCATGGGTATTCACTGTAGAATGAACTGGTTAGTGAATATGACTCGCTGAGCAGTCGAGTGTACTTACGTCCATATTTCGGTACCCACTTGGAGGACGGGCTCACGCCCGGAATCTTCTTTTTGCCGTACATATCGTAGCACTGCTGCTCGCGCGGCTCGACGGTGCCTGGCGGACAGTTGTGGGTGTTGCAGGAGCGGTACTTCTTGCGGCTGCCCACACAGTACTTGCCACCGTTTTGGGGCGCCGGATTGTTGCACTCACGGCGCGAGTGCTGCACGCCGCCGCCGCACGACAGGCTGCATGGCGTGAAGGCGTCCCAGGGACCCCAGCCGCCGTGCACCACGCGTAGCCCAGTGCCCGAGCGTGGCACACACTTACCCTTCTGACACCAGAATCCGTTCTTGCTGTTGCTGTTGCAGGGCGTGCCATCTGCCCAGGGCAAGTTGCTGGAACGACAGAGCCCGTTGGGATGCGTGTTGGCGTTGCAGAAAAGTTTCTTGCACTCCACCTCCGAGAAGCAATGGGTGCTCTGGTTGCCATGTATCAGACGACACTGATGGTCCAGCGAATAAATCTCTCCAGGCTGCTTCGTGCTCTCTTCCCTTATGTACGAGGATGGCGTGTTCTCCAGGCAGGACTTGTCCATTTTTCTAAACCGAAATTAACAAATCTTGAAAATGATCTGCTATATGTGCAAATTGCTTAAGTAATTACTCGAGAAACTCGGAGACATAGTGCTGCGAGCACTTGGACCATGACCACGGGTACATATTGTCGCCCATGACGCTGGACATGATGTGCAGCGTGCCCGACTTCATATTGTACGGCTTGCAACGGTCGTCATCGTCGTGCGGCATGTTGAAGCTAAAGAGGCAAAGATTGGGCTAAAATCTGGAGGTAATACTAGCGATCCCAATTTGACTCACATGTGGCCCAGTTCGTGGGCAATCGTGAAGGCGGCGGCCAGGCCATTGTCCTGCACAAAGGAGCAGGAGCGAGCCTTGCAGAGCGTGCCCAGCTCGGCCAGACCCAGAGTTCTGCAGCGCTCGTCTCGCTCATTGTTGCAAATCTTATCGCTGTAAACGACAAAGGGGAGAGGGATTAGTAGGCGATTACGCCGGGACTCGTTGGGTCTTCAATTACCGCGTGATAAGTATGCTGGTGTCGTAGTGAATGCCCCGTCTGGTTAGATCCGAGCAGAAGTTATTGAGTTTCTCGTTGGTGGAGCTGGCATGTTCGGGTCCGTGGCGCGCATCCGAGTTGAACTCCACCAGATTGAGCAGCGACAGCTTTATGGAGTAGCCAATGCTGGCATCCGCAAAGATATTCGATACGATTGAGAACAGCGTGAGAATGTAGGACCTGAGGTCTTTGCCATGGAACTCGAACATGGTGCTGTCAACGGCAATGAGCACCTCCAGCGTGTAGACCTGATTGTCCAGATTCGGAAAGTGGCGCTTTTGTCGCGTGAGCCGCTGTGGCATGCTCGCCGCCATGTCGAGCGCCGCGAGCTCCAGATCAAAATCGGAGACAGCGTGTCTAGGACTGCGCTGCGAGTGCCGCCAGACGCGATGCAAAATCTGGTCGCTGTCCGTCTGATTGACCGGCTGAATGAGCATCGTGCCGAAACTGGTTTTTATATAACCAGTCTGTGGAATAGGGGCAGGGCAGGAGTTGCATATAAGCTAATTAGTAGTCATATTCGGCGATATATTGATAAGCATAATTTGCGAAATGCTAATTTCATGCAAATGGCTTTCTGAAGGTCTCAGCTCCAGCTGCTCTCAGCCATCTCACACCTGGCACCTGTCGGCGTTAATGTTCATGTTTTGTGCTGTCATTGACTTACCATGCCGCCGCAGAGAGAGACGGCCACTGCTGATTGATTATCGCCATCCACGTAACCCTTGTAATAGCAGCCCAGAAAGTGGCCGCTCTCCTCCTCCGGCTCGTGCTTCGACTCCTCGGTGTGATTGTTGAGTATGCGAATCACTCGAAATGTGTTCGATGGTATGAACGAGGTGTCCTGGTGCAGCATGAGGTGCAGCACCTTGCCGAACACGTGCAGCAAGTACTCCGGATGTGGATCCCAGATCTGGCTGGACTGTCTGCGGAACGTGCCCGTCATGCTGAAGGCTGAGGTCGTATCTGCAACGATACATACATAGCCAGGCACATTTGTAGGCGGAACTCAATCCAAGTGCTATCGGCGAACCACTTACCCTTCAGACTGCTGTTGCTGCTGCTGCTGCTCTGTCGTTTYGATTCGTAGAGCATATCCTCGGCATTGAGGCTAATGTTGTGTATCTTTTGTGGCGATACAAAGGCGCTGAGATTGTCGCCCTCCGGATATTGTAGGCTGTCAAATTTGTAGCCGTTTTCCGTAACGCGTTCATCGCTCCGGTTGATAATAATCGTGTCGTTTAAAAAGTTCATGGGCTCTTCCACCTCATAGAGACGCTTGGGACTGCTATCGCTGGGCGTGCCGCAAATGAAGAAGATAAAGAGGCCGAACAGGCTCAGCAAGAGCGCAACGCTGATCCATATTAACGCGTGCTGGCGCCAGTGTGTCGACATGTTGCGGATATTTTTATGCTTGTAGAACCACCATTCGCAGGTCTTCTTCAGCACAAGCTGCAAGAGATGCAAACACAGACAGTTGAGAAGAAAGTCAAAGTCGAGGCAGAGCCATGGCGAGACCTAAATGCAATATCGTTTGTCGAGCTCACGATACGCTCGAAAGTTGAAAGTTAGTGGCATTCTCTCACATCTTAACGGCCGATTGCAGCGCTCGGGGCCCAGCCGGCGGCAAAGCTAGCTGACTTGGGCACGTTCCACTCACCCGCAAATAAGTAAACATTATCATTAAGAGCTTCAGATTGGCCGTTGAACCCATTGATTTGAGTGATTATTACTCTGATACACCTATTGTGTATCGATCGACTGACGGCCGGCTGCCCTGGCCATCTGTTCTGCATCATCAACAGGTTGCAAAGCAAGCGAAAATATTTCAAATATATTTAAGCATATATCAGCAGCAGTAAGAGTCGATCGAGCCCTGGTCGTCTGTCTTTTTGTAACCCAAGAGTTTCTGTTATATCTTATATATATTTTTTCTTATTGATATCATATTTAGTTATTAGGAATTAGAATTAATATAAAATTAAGCACTGAGGTCTTGGGCTTGTGGTATTATATATTAAATTAGTTATTCGAACAAATTAGCATTGTTTGCTCTTCATAAAATATTTAATCTAATTATTTATCTCAGCATCAGTAGGAGTCGATCAAGCCCTGTATGTCCGTCTCTTGTCACATAGGAGCTGTAGGTGAATGTGTTGCAGCTAGGGTAGCTCAAGCCTTTATTAAACAATCTATATATTTTCCCATTATTATTATACGATATATGCTAATAGTTATTTGACTTATTTGGAATTATTTACATTTGCTAGACTCCCAGTAAAACCTGGAACCTTTTTGTAGTGAAATTTTACATATCGATTTATCGCCTACTCGATAATTGTAGACATGAGACTGTGTCCAGAATTACTGTTAGTCTCCGAGCAGGCTATGACTCTAAAAATGGCATTTAGTCTGAATTTCGCAGCCCGGTCGCCAACATGCTCTTCGATGCCTCAGTGCTGGCTGCAGTCAAATAATGTAAAATAATAATAAATTACGGACTGCCCGGTGTGCCATAATGTGCGAGTGTGCCAAGAGCAAATAAATAAAATGAAATAAACAAAAGAAGAGGTGGAACCGAAATGAAACGAAGCAACGGCTAAGTGCCCCGCGCGCAAACAATTTATAGATATACCTATGTGATGGCTTTAATTTGTCTTGATGGCTTTTGTTGCTGCTGTTGTTGTTGTTATTGTTGTTGCACCTCTTGGGCGCCGCGAATTTGTGAAATTTGTGCATTTAGCGTATCGTGATCAATGTTGCTTTTAAATGTGGTGTCGAAAATTTAATTGAAATTCGCCAAAAATATGCACGAAATTAGTTGCCAAATCATTTTTGTCTCAATAATGACGCATTTTACATAATTTGACGGCAGCTCTATGAACTCTGTGAACCGGCGAGCCATTTCTTATTTCATTATGCCATCAAATGGACGGACGCATCGCACGTGCCTCTCCTCATTTCTTTTATGTGTGTGTGTGTGTGTGTGTTTTTTTTTCCACCAAAACTGGATGCCAAGGCGCGCCCGTGTCCACGGATTTCCGCTGCGTTCCGCCACAATTTACGATTATGGAAACGTAAAACCTTCAGCACGATGACAACTCAACTCAACGCAACGTTCGTATCGCCATTGACCTTTTACGTTAGCTATTATTGGAAATAGTTCAAAATGATGAGCTATTAAATTGGCAAAGCTTTTAATTTAACGAGCGCACATTTGCGAATACCAAATAATATATAAATGTGCGTTTTTTAAATACGCTAAATACGATTTTGTGCTCAGGTATGTTACAGACAAAAGAAGTGAATCAGAACCCTCATCTGTCGAACTGTCTGTCTGTCCTCTGAATCGAAGTTTAGTTACCAGTATAGCCAATATATTTATAGACTTTGATAAAGGTCAGTGAATTTGCATCCAGACAGCTTAAGCACGTGGCGATTCGCTTACGTATGTTTTATCCCGATGCATGCGCTTGCTTATATTTTTCTTCGGATTCTATTAATAGAATCAGAATTGAATTGTTCGCTGCGTCTTGAGTATGGGATTTGCCACTGCACAATCGGACTGTGAAGTGGCGGTGGTCGTAAAGGCGATGCATCTGGTTGGGGGAGACCGAGGCTCGAACCTTGGCGTTGATTGGCAAATTTTTCTTTTTAAATACTTTTTTTTTTTATGCTCATCGATTGTGACAATGCAGCATGACAAAAATCTGAGCAGCGTCACAATCAAGAAGCATATTTATTACCGGAAAAATATAAAAATTCTTAAATATCTATTCAATATATGCATGCATATATTTGTCTATATATGCATAGACATCATATTAGCATCAACAACATCAAATTTGACGGAGTTCCGTGTGTGACTAAATGAAATTCCTAATTAGAGCTGTTTTACTTCTTTTATGTTTGCAACAAAATATTCGAAATGTGGTTTGTATTCTTAATTCCTTATCTAATACGGTAGTATCCCTTTAATAGTTGCCTACTTATCTGGGGCATATTGCCAATAATATATATTATAAAAGATTCCAAATACTTTGATATTAAAAAAAAAAAAAAAAAAAAAAAAAAAAAAAAAAAAAAAAAAAAAAAAAA